TACGATTTTTAAACTTTTCTAGCTGAAGCTCATAAAAATGATCAAATGTAAGAAATATAAAAGTATTCATAGTGGAAATGATAAAATGTCTGATGATTATATATCTGACCTTAATCATATCTCATAATATGAATTTGATGTGATATTTTTATGTTTTATCATTTAATCCTGTTTTTACTTTTCATGGCAGAAATAAGCCTCCGTAGAAATTGAGGCACATTTTAAAAGCAGATTTCATTTTTTTCCTTTAAATACACATTGAAGAGCGATTGTTGAGGACATTAATGTGGAGCGTGACTGTACGGACAGTGTGTCCTCTCTGCAGCTGCCGCAGATTGCAGATGATAATCAGAGTTGATAAGATGCAGAGATAATAAGAAATAAATAAGATGCAGCCTAATAAGGCTCAGAAATAAGGCAGCTCAGTCCAGATGTCCCTGCAGCGTCTTCTAATCCACACTGAAGCTGCGTCTTACAGGATGAAAGTGGAATCTTCTATCAATTATTATCCTAACATACTGAATTATATCCCCAGAAATCCTTCAAATTATTCCCTAATAATCCCCCTGATGGGATCACACGACCCAGATACGTCCCCACAGTCACATAACCTTTCAGTGGGCTGCTTATGGAGATATTTTCATTAAAGAAACGGAGGAAACTTCTCTTTAAACTTTCACAGTTTGACTTCATTAGTGGCTAATTAAGATCGTCATCAGTACTGAGATGTTGATGTTTAGGATTAAACCATAATCTGACCCCTCTGTGTCCACTGTTCTTTATCTGAGAGGAACCTGGAGCCTGGCGGACCTCCAGGAGAGACGCAGTGAACCAGAGATATAGAAACATAGACAGCTCATTGGCTGCTTTGACCTCACCGTCAACACATTTTCATGAAGGTTTGTTATGAAGGTGAGAAACTGTACCTGATAATGGGGGCGGAGCTAATCGGCTCTGTAGATGAGAGCAGCCATACGCCCCCTGTTGGGTGAAGAGAGCTGTGTCTTTAGTCAATCTGCAGAGAGGATGAAACTAAAAAACTCTTATGTCGTTTGTGGTCTGGTGAACTTTAATTTTATCAGTTAAACTTTATTATTATGAATCCGTCAGGGACCCAAAATAAAAATGATTATCAGTAATTATACAAAGTAAAAAATGTCTGTAGAGTTTATGGTGAAAAACTGTTAGAAACTGTAAAAGATGAAATACGTTTAAGTTTCTGTAACGGTAAAACACCGTGATCTCTCAGAGCAAAACCTTTATTCATACGGCATTTTAAAGGAATTTATACAGAATAAAATAGTTTTTTATATTATAGATAGTAAATTGCACAGAAACCCACCATCACAGCCTCATTCAGTATTTTCATACAGCAAAACTGTTTCTTACAGTGAAATATGGATTAAAAAGTACTCATATTCTTTTACTGTATTATTATAGAACAGTTTGTATTTTACAGAAAACTGTAAATTAAGATAAAACTCTAATAAAGAAGTGATTTTATCCAAACTCCAAACTGAAATATTAATAATAATTCAGTCACAAACATTTCTTTCTTTCAAAACTTTATTGATCTACACACAATAATGAGCACTTTCTCAGCTTGTCTCCACAGGATGTATAAATAAAGTTCTGTTACCTTCAATAAATAATCTGTTTCCTTTCATATTTGTAAATAAACAAACAGAAATAAAACTTTATGTAATGTTACTGTATAAATAAAGTTTGTATGATTATATTAGATTATGTATTATATTTATATATTTCCGACGTTGTATAAAAATATTCTGTGTGTGTCGATTAACAACTTAGTTGGATTAGTGTCTCAAAGTGACGTAATTGTCTCTGAATGTCATTTGTATGTAAATCTGCGGGACGATTAGGATCCACTCAGCTCTGCTTTTGTTCCGTCGACCATCAGCGTGATGAAAATCAAAAGGCAGCAGAAAGATTACAGAACCATTAACGTCCATTAACTGATAAAAAGCTATTAGAGGCTTATAGATTAAATCACATATATGGAGCAGAGTGATGATGAAGGCTCAGCAAGAAGAGGAGGAGGAGGAGGGTGATGTGTAGAAGGAGGAGGGATGTGTACTGTAAAGGTCACAGGTTTGATCCCCACTGAGAAATAATTCACTAATTTAAGCCAGCGGATGTGAATCAATACATCTGATCACTTTCTGATCACTTTCCTCCATCATATTTACAATGTCTGTAAAGTTCAAAGTTCACTTTGTGGCAAACAGACCAACAATTTGCAGTAATGTTAGCTTTGACTTTTGTTCTGTATCTGATTGTTTTATTGTTCTAATTTTAAATAATTGGATATTTGTTTCAATGGTCTTTATTTATTTCACTGTTAACTAAGTGAATCTTGTTTATTACGTTAATAAAGTTAATAAATATTATGTTCAGGTTTGTAACTTAAAAGGTTAAAATTCAAAGTTAAACTCAGTAATTTAGTTGAATGAACTCATTTTGTTTGTGTTTGAATGGTTACAATGGTTACAGTTGGTGGTTGCTAACAGTGATGGAAAGTAACTAAGTACATTTCATTAATGTACTTATTTCCATTTTATACTTCTACTCCACTACATTTATTAATAGAAAACATAACCAATTAATAAAATGTGATGTATTTCTATAGATTTAGATACAACTTTATTGATCCAGAGGGACTTAATAAAGACAATAAACTGATGAACACATTAATGAATCAATAACTATAATCAAAAATATAATATATAGTATTCTGCATAATGAGTCAGTTTATTTTATTTTGATAGGGAAAAAGTTATTATAATGAGAAAATTATAATATATAAGAAATATTGATTTTAGTGATACTAAGTCAATATTTAATACTTTAACACATTTAAGTATTTTATTTGTGCAACAGTTTGTTCTTCTTCCCGCCTGTTGACACACACACACACACACACACACACACACACACACACACACACACACACACACATAAACCATATGGTGTGTTCACAGCACCGCACACACACGCAGCGTCTGATTGGCTGCTGCAGGTTAATGAGGTAATGAATGGCGGTGGTGTCCCACCAGCTGCTGCTGACAGAGAGGCGGGAACCAGCAGCGCCACCTGTAGGCTGCAGCGGTCACTACAGTGTGAACAGCAGCTTGTCCTGATGGTGGCGCTAGAGAGAGAACATCATTCACTTCCTCTGGAGAGCTGAAACAATAATTCTTCTTCTTTTGGTATTTATTTAGAAATAATATAAAGAAAGAAAATACAAACAGCAGTTTGTGTTGCTTTCTTTTAGAAAAGTGCTAAATAAAGTTTTATTATCATTAAAGTATTATATTATTATTATTATTATTATTATGATATAATATTATTATTATTATTAACATTATTATTATATATTACATATGATTATATAATATTATTATTATTATATATTACATATTATTATTATTCATAATAATAATATAATATTAATATTAATATTATATTATTAATAGTATTATTATTATTAATATTATTATATATTATTATTATTAATAATATTATTATATATTATTATATATTATATATTATTATTAACATTATTATTATATATTACATATTATTATTATATAATATTATTATTATTGATAATATTATTAATATTATTATTATTATTATAATTATTATTATATATTATTATATATTATTATTATTAACATTATTATTATATATTACATATTATTATTATATAATATTATTATTATTATTAATAATCTAATATTAATATTAACATTATATTATTAATAGGATTATTATTATTAATAACATTATATATTAATATTATTATTAATATTGATATTACTAATATTATTATATATTATTATTAATATTATATATTATTATATATTATTATTATTATTATTCATATTGATGTTAATATTGATATTAATATTATTATTATTATTATATATTATTAATATTATTATTATTAATATTATATTGATGTTTATTGATATTAATATTATTAATATTATTATTATTATTATTATTATTATTATTATATTATTATTATTAGCACAATAACGACATAACTCTATTTTGTATTTAATATATTTTCTGGTTTGAAAATTAATAATATAATTAGTCAGTAAAAAGAATTACTGAATAATATTAGTTTCATTGATTTATTGATTTATTGATTTATTGATGTGCGCGCGTGCTTTCGGCCACGTTACCACGTCGTGACGTCATCAGACAGCGCCGTGTTGTTGACAGAGTTCAGAGGAAACAAAGACAGAAGTGAGAGAAGAGTTCATTTAACGGAGCGGGTCCAGTTCGGTTCGGCTCGGTCTCGGTTCGGCTCGGTTCGGTTCGGCTCGGTTCGTAAACAGTTTCCGGTTTGTTAGCATGATGCTACTTTATCACCTGCATGCTAACCGGCTAGTTACCTGTTAGCATCTGGAGAGCTGCTGTAAAGGCACTAACAGCCAGTCTGATCGATATGTTATCGATATGTTATCGATATGTAGTTGAAGTTTGTTAATGTCCCTGTTGCCATAGTTACTACTCAATCAGCTGAGCTAACGATTAAAATGATCCCACACCAAACTCCATTCAGATATCTGCTAATTTAATATTTAATATCAGTTCATCGATTACTTTATAAATATATATATATTATAGGTATACATTCACATACTGATCATATTATTTATTGATCAGCAGTGAGCTGTTAAAATAAAGTATTTTCAGTCAGTTTAATCCTTAAATGATGTGAAATATTGTATTATATATATAATCTATATATATATAATCTATATATATATAATCTATATAGATCATCAACACTCTGAATGAACACATACAGAATTATGTAGTAAACTAAAAAGTGTGAAATAACTCAAAACATGTTTTATATTTTAGATTCCCTTTGCTTTGTTTTGCTTTGCACACTTTGATTCGATGAGCTTCATGAGGTAGCACCTGAATTTTCCAACAGTCTTGAAGGAGTTCCCAGAGATGCTGAGCACTTGTTGGCTCTTTTGCTTTCACTCTGCGGTCCATCTCATCCCAAACCATCTCGACTGGGTTTAGGTCAGGTGACTGTGGAGGTCAGATCATCTGGCGCAGCACTCCATCACTCTCCTTCTTGGTCAAATAGCCCTTACACAGCCTGGAGGTGTGTTTGGGGTCATTGTCCTGTTGAAAAATAAATGATGGTCCAACTAAACGCAAACCGGATGGGATGGCATGATGCTGCAGGATGCTGTGGTAGCCATGCTGGTTCAGTGTGCCTTCAATTCTGAATCAATCCCCAACAGTGTCACCAGCAAAGCACCCCCACACCATCACACCTCCTCCTCCATGCTTCACGGTGGGAACCATGCATGTAGAGACCATCCGTTCACCTTTTCTGCATCGCACAAAGACACGGCGGGTGGAACCAAAGATCTCAAATCAGACCAAAGCACAGATTTCCACTGGTCTAATGTCCATTCCTTGTGTTTCTTGGACCAAACAAATCTGCTTGTTGCTTTTCCTTAGTAGTGGTTTTTTAGCAGCTATTTGACCATAAAGGCCTGATTCGTCTCCTCTGAACAGTTGATGTAGAGATGTGTCTGCTACTAGAACTCTGTGAGGCATTATTCTGGGCTCTAATCTGAGGTGCTGTTAACTTGTGATTTCTGAGGCTGGTGACTCAGATGAACTTATCCTCAGCAGCAGAGGTGACTCTTGGTCTTCCTTTCCTGGGGCGGTCCTCATGTGAGCCAGTTTTGTCGTAGCGCTTGATGGTTTTTGCGACTGCACTTGGGGACACATTCAGAGTTTTTGCAATTTTCCGGACTGACTGACCTTCAGTTCTTAAAGTAATGATGGACTGTAGTTTCTCTTTACTTAGCTGATTGGTTCTTTCCATAATATGAATTCTAACAGTTGTCTAATAGGGCTGTCAGCTGTGTACCAACCTGACTCTGAAGTGGAAACCATTTCAGGTGACTACCTCATGAAGCTCATTGAGAGAAGGCCAAGGGTTTGCATCACTGTCAACAAAGCAAAGGGTGGCTACTTTCTTTATTTCACACTTTTTAGTTTACTACATAATTCTGTATGTGTTCATTCAGAGTGTTGATGCCTTCAGGGAGAATCTACAATGTCAATAGTCATGAAAATAAAGAAAAACAATTAAATGAGAAGGTGTGTCCAAACTTTTGACTGGTAGTGTATATAGAATATATGAAGATATAATCTATATATATATATATATTGATTATATATATATCTGTAGATTATATTGTGTAAATATCTAATGAAGGGTCGCCAGTTAACTGTGTTTTTCAATAATGAAATGATGTCTAATAGTCTTAAATATAATAAAATGAAGCAGTCGGTGTAAAATGTCTCAGACAGACGTGTTAGCCTTCTTCTGTGGTGTTAGCGTGTTAGCATCTATCAGACTCTATTAGGAAAGTGTCCTGAGAACTTTTGTTATGACGCTACACAAATAAAATGTAATTGTCAACATGTTAGTATCTTCCTTATCCTTTAGCATGTAGCATCTGTTATATCAGCGTTACAGACGTGTTTAAACGCCACAGAGGCGGTTTACTGAAGTGTGTCTGCTGTGACTCTTCGTCAGGCTCTTCATCAGGATGCAGCTCTTGTAGCTCCACACAGAATGAGTCGTGATGAAGAGACCAAAGCTGGCCGGAGTTTTCCTCTTCGTGGGCTGCCTGCTCGCCTACCTGATGTTTGTGAAGCGTCACTACACCTCCACAAAGCCTGAAGCCTACAGACTACCTCCCCACCAGCTGCCCGCCGCCGCCGCCGCCGCCGCTGGACGGAGCTTCCAGTATGGCATCATGTTCGACGCTGGGAGCACTGGGACCAGAGTCCACATCTTCAAGTTCCAGACAGAGAACAAAGGTAGAAGCCTCAATGTCTGATATGATTCATTATAGTGACATCTAATGGTGCAGATTACTACGCCCTCGCCTCACCCTGGTCCTGAACCCGTGTTGGGTCCTGAACCCGTGTGAACCCGTGTTGGGTCCTACCTAGAGTCAACCAGAGCTCAGAGTGTCTGTAAAAGATGCTACAATTCAAATCAAACCTTCTGGAAGTGGCAGGTTTTATTTACCTGTAAACATTTACTAGTTTCTGTGTTTGCTAACACAACATGTCCGCTCCTCCTCCGTCTGTGGCACGAATAAAAAACCTCCTGAAGCTGGATCAGGTATTTGGAACAGAGGCTGGTGTTTATTCCAGATAGCAAACAGGATATTTGGCAGCTCTCTAATCGATGCTAAATGGATTCATATGGATCCTTTCAGATTAAATGGTAAAGGTTTATAAAGCAGACCTCACTCAATTGCTTTTAGTGTATTTAAAACCCACACATGTTGGCCCCAAACATTAATTACCAGCAGACAAGAGGAGCTTTCAGCCTGTAAGTCCCGCGCTGCCGCACCGCTGCTGCCAGAGTCAAAATGGACACAAACTCATTAGTGCGTTTTAGAGGTTTTGGGTTTATTAGGCTTAGAGAAAGTTTCCTGCAGAGCTCGGCCAAATGCCTTCGTTATCGCATTTAACCGCTAAGCTAAATCACACAGGCTGAGTGCTGTTTTGGCTCCTTTGTTAGCCTCAGAGCTAACGGGTAGTTATACAGACTGGGATTGTCATTAAGAGCTTAATGACAGCTCAAATGTAGGCACAGGTCCAGGGTCAGTTAGAAAGATAAAGTAAATTAAATGTGCTTGTAAAACACTCATCAGGACTTATTGCCTGTCTTTAATCGGACACACACAGAGGTCGTTGTTTAAACTTTATCTTCATCGTGTTTCCTGCAGAAGCTCCCACACTGGCCCACGAGACGTTCAGAGCCATCAAACCTGGACTGTCTGCGTACGCTGATGATCCAGAGAAGGTGCTACGTCATCATCTGTCTGTAATCCACCTGATCTGATATTATTCATTATTACAACACAGGACTGACCTCGTTGAGCTTTCACACTGTTTCATCACACTGACTCTCTCATAGGCCCGTACGTTGCTGTTAGCACGTTAGCACGTTAGCATCCATCAGATTGGTGTCATTGTGTGTCTCCTCCCGTGCGTCCAGTGTACAGCCGGTATCGTGGAGCTTCTGGAGGTGGCGAAGTCCAGCGTCCCCCCCTCCCTGTGGACCATCACCCCTGTGGTCCTGAAGGCCACAGCCGGCCTGCGACTGCTGCCGGGGGAGAAAGCCAAACACCTGCTGGACAAGGTGAGACACACACACATTGTTTTTCAAAATAAAACACACAGAAATGTTCATATTATTATTATTATTATTATTATTATTATTATTATCATCCGTATATTGTCCAGTGACAGACAGTAATAGTAAATAACAATAAATACATTAATAAAGACATTTACATTGAAACCCCTAAAAGAAACACTTTGTTACAACATGTTAAAGATCAAACTGTTTAATTATCAATCAATCAATCAATCAATCAGTCTGCATTATGGCAGTGAGTTGCTAATGCCTCATCATCATCCTCTTCATCCTCTTCATGGTCTATAAAGCTCTTCAGTAATAAGTAATAACAGGAGCAGAGCTGATGACACTAAATATTATTAAAATATTAAATTATTATTATATTCTAATACATGTGTCACATTAGTTTTACCACCCTGTGCTTCCCTTTGTGTCCAGGTGAGGGCGCTGTTTCTGGAGTCTCCCTTTCTGTCCAGAGACGACAGCGTGTCCATCATGGACGGCACTGATGAAGGTGGGAAGTCTTCCAAGCAGCACCGATAACAAACGTAGTGAATGTTTGAGCTGGAAGGTGACGAAGGTCTTTAGAGTTCAATCACATCGATTCTGTAGGAGGAGTTTGTTCAAGTTCAACGAAAAATGGCCGACTTCCTGTCGGGATGTGGCTCCAAGAGCTTTTATTGTGATTAATTAGTGTTTGGAAGTTGCTCAGCATTAATGCAGTGCTTATAAAGCTGAGTGGTCCTTTAATGGCGTCCTGTGGTTGCTGACCTCTCATCAGGTCTCTTCATCAGTTTATTAGATTACAGAGAATCTCCTCATCCTTTCATTTGTTTAATCTGTGGAGCAGCTCAGATGTTTCTCCTTGTTTATCACCGCACAGAAAAACCTCAGAGGTCCCGCTCTGATTTCCCCAACGCACACCGCCAATATGGAGGATTAAACAAAATGGAGGATTAAACAATATGGAGGATTAGAAATGAGATGAAACGAGAGACAAACGTCCTCGTTCAGCAGCAAACAAACACTGGTGGAATAACACTGGTGGACGAACACTGGTGGACGAACACTGGTGGACGAACCACTGGTGGACGAACCACTGGTGGAGAACCACTGGTGGACGAACACTGGTGGAGAACCACTGGTGGAGAACCACTGGTGGACGAACACTGGTGGAGAACCACTGGTGGACGAACACTGGTGGACGAACACTGGTGGAGAACCACTGGTGGAGAACCACTGGTGGACGAACACTGGTGGACGAACACTGGTGGACGAAACACTGGTGGAGAACCACTGGTGGACGAACACTGGTGGAGAACCACTGGTGGATGAACACTGGTGGACGAACACTGGTGGAGAACCACTGGTGGACGAACACTGGTGGAGAACCACTGGTGGACGAACCACTGGTGGACGAACACTGGTGGAGAACCACTGGTGGACGAACACTGGTGGAGAACCACTGGTGGACGAACACTGGTGGAGAACCCCTGGTGGACGAACACTGGTGGACGAACACTGGTGGAGAACCCCTGGTGGACAAACACCGGTGGACGAACCCCTGGTGGACGAACACCGGTGGACGAACACTGGTGGACGAACACCGGTGGACACACACTGGTGGACGAACACTGGTGGAGAACCACTGGTGGACGAACCACTGGTGGAGAACCCCTGGTGGACGAACACTGGTGGACAAACACTGGTGGACGAACCACTGGTGGAGAACCACTGGTGGACAAACACTGGTGGAGAACCACTGGTGGACGAACACTGGTGGACGTGTCGTGTTGTGTTTAACCGATAGACATGAAGATAGTTAGACACGTGTTTCATATCGAGACGTACAAAAGAGCCTCTCGGATCAGCTGCTCACTGCACTCTAAAGACGCTCGTCTTACGGCGTGCCCACGGCTTCCCTGACCCTAACCTGAGTGTACATTACCCATCAGCCCAAAACTTCACGTCTGATAAAGTCCCGCCCTGAACACTCCTACAGTATTCACTGCAGACTGAAATAAATGTGACGTTTCTTTATTGGAGCATTGAACCTGTGGTCTGAGGTCCCGTCAGGTTCCTCGGGGGTCCAGGTGTTGGACATTGTTGTTGTCCCTGCTGTGAACTCTGTTAGCAGTCACAATGAGCTGGCTGTGTGAAGGAATCTGTAGCTGCCGTGTTTGAAAGGCTCGCTGTGTGTGCACACGCTCGCGCACACATAATCCAATCCTTTTAAAGTAGTTCATACAAGCAATTATGGCCATGTGGGATAATGTCCCACTTAATCTTGAGGGAGGGAGGGAGGCCGATTATCTCCCCCCTCCCTTGCTCTCAGTTTATTCCTGAGGCTGAAATGTTTTCTCCTTCCCTCTGATGATGGTTACTGAATGAACTCCCGTCAGCGAGCCGCTAATGGACACATTCCTCCTTCCATCAGCCTTATTACCGCACACATATTCTTGGTCCTGAAGCTCATCCGTCCCTCAGATTACCCCCCCGACCGTCCTGAATGGAGGCGACTTATTGTTAATGCAGATCTGTGAGTGGTCAGTGGGGGGGCGGCAGGGTGCTAAGTGCCGGTGTTTAGCTTCCCGACCTAAAGCCGAGTCCTCTCGCTGGTTGTTTGTTTTGTTTGGAAATTGCTTCTTAGCGTCTGTATAAGAGTTTCACAGTAAAGCTCCTATGATACACTTTCTATCAGACCCTTTAATCACCCACTTCTGCATGCGGCAGAGGTCAGAGGTCGCTGGTAAAAGGCACTAATGCATGCAGCTGAGTGGCACACACACTAATGTCGTCTTTGAGTTGACCTGGATGAGCCGATCCTCTACGAGCTCACAACGTATCACACTTTAGATCTTCATGTTGGATTGATGTTCCACATCGTCTACTTCACCTTAAAGTCCTTAAAGACACATTACATGTTTCTGTGTAACAGACAGCCCACACCTCAACACAGAGTCCACAACACAGAGTCCACAACACAGAGTCCACAACACAGAGTCCACAACACAGAGTCCAACACAGAGTCCACAACACAGAGTCCACAACACAGAGTCCAACACAGAGTCCACAACACAGAGTCCAACACAGAGTCCACAACACAGAGTCCAACACAGAGTCCACAACACAGAGTCCACAACACAGAGTCCAACACAGAGTCCAACACAGAGTCCACAACACAGAGTCCACAACACAGAGTCCAACACAGAGTCCACAACACAGAGTCCACAACACAGAGTCCACAACACAGAGTCCAACACAGAGTCCACAACACAGAGTCCAACACAGAGTCCACCACAGAGTCCACAACACAGAGTCCACAACACAGAGTCCAACACAGAGTCCACAACACAGAGTCCACCACAGAGTCCACAACACAGAGTCCAACACAGAGTCCAACACAGAGTCCACAACACAGAGTCCAACACAGAGTCCAACACAGAGTCCAACACAGAGTCCACAACACAGAGTCCAACACAGAGTCCAACACAGAGTCCACAACACAGAGTCCACAACACAGAGTCCACAACACAGAGTCCAACACAGAGTCCACAACACAGAGTCCAACACAGAGTCCACAACACAGAGTCCAACACAGAGTCCAACACAGAGTCCACAACACAGAGTCACAACACAGAGTCCAACACAGAGTCCACAACACAGAGTCCAACACAGAGTCCAACACAGAGTCCACAACACAGAGTCCAACACAGAGTCCACAACACAGAGTCCACAACACAGAGTCCACAACACAGAGTCCACAACACAGAGTCCACAACACAGAGTCCAACACAGAGTCCACAACACAGAGTCCAACACAGAGTCCACAACACAGAGTCCACAACACAGAGTCCACAACACAGAGTCCACAACAGTCCAACACAGAGTCCACAACACAGAGTCCACAACACAGAGTCCACAACACAGAGTCCAACACAGAGTCCACAACACAGAGTCCAACACAGAGTCCACAACACAGAGTCCAACACAGAGTCCACAACACAGAGTCCAACACAGAGTCCACAACACAGAGTTCAACACAGAGTCCACAACACAGAGTCACTCCCCAGCTAACGCGATCCATGATACTAACTTATATATTCTGATGTTAGCCATCATCATCAGCATCATTATAACTTAAAACTAAACTTTTTATTTTTATTTTATTTATGTATTTTTCTGTTCAGGGATTTCTGCCTGGATCACCGTCAACTTCCTCACTGGTGAGAAATCAACACTGAGTGTGTGTGTG